TCTTCTTAATCTTTATTTGAAGTCAAAGGACTCAGTATTTGTGTTCAAAACATAGCCTCTAGTGAATAGATGCACTTCCAAAAAAAAGCCCAGATTTTAACCTACTTAGAAATTGTCCTATCCCAACTCCATCTGAAATTCACCACCATTTTTTTTTTCTTAGCACCTTGTTTAAACTACCAATTCCACATCCTGATCTGGTCAGTGCTTAATTTATGATAGAAGTTAAATTTATTAGCTGACATTCCAAATTCATGAGACTTTTGGGTAATATATTTTTTTGCAACTTTTGTATGGCTACATCTGGAATTCCTCACCCTTCCACTCTCTGATATTTGTTCTGTATTACTCACATAAATTATTGTTCATTTTATTGATGGCATAATGCATTGGAAAATTCTGTGAAGTCTTGATGTTGTGAAGACTGCTTTTTCTACAGGAAGATTTTCTGGTGTCCTTTTGGGTCGATCTTATACTTTGAGTTGATGAAGAGCCCAAAGAAATACATGAGGTCATTATTGAGAGATACAGAAAAGAGAGGATATTTCTATTTTCAAAAGGTCATCACAATTTCTATAGAACTTTTATAGTTGCAGCCACAGTACTAGGCTCAGACTAAGCTAAGAGGTAAAAAGGAAATTGATATGGTTAGGCAAAAGAAGGCAAGCTTCAGCAATTACAAAATGTTTATAGTGTGAAATATTTCCAGGTATCACACTGCTTCTAAACTTGAGTCCAGAGAGCAATATGGAGAATAACTGGGGTCTGTGAGACAGACTGACTTTTAAGTGACTGTAGTATAATTTGATCACGGTTTATAGAGAACTGTGCCATTCAATGGTAGGAATGTGAAGTTCTCTGGCATTAAAAAAGGATGATGGTAAATAAGTTAGAGTTATTTACACAAAGGATGCCCACTATAGCAATGCCAAGAAAGCTTATTCTTTGTGGACCCATAATACAGTTCTCTTTTCTTGGTATTCTAGGGTTTATTTTTGGTTGCTATTGTTTGCTGTCAGTCACTTTCCCTACAAAATAAACTCCACGAAATGTGGGTTCTGCTCTCTCTTCTATCCTCCAAGCCTCACATCTGGTTCATGATGAGCTAGGTGAAAAAAAAAACAAGAGGAAAAGTAATAAAATCAAAACTTTTCTCAAAATTAAAGTCTCTTAAAGTCTGCCATTCCAAGGCTAGGCAGGCTTCCCCAAGCAGGAATACCTTCTTATGAGCTCTGAGGAGAATAAAGTGACTTGGGAGGCTGGGCAGTTTTGTAGGATAACAGATTGGAAGTGTTTGGCCAGTGGTTACTCCCAACCTTGCAGTTCTCACTCAAGAATTTTTAGTAAGGGTCCCATCCTTAAAGACAATCATATTGTAATGACAGAACGTAAATGGCCTCCTGTTTCTGAGTTTAGAGATTTAGTCTTTGAAAGAACTTAGTTTCCTCTGACTCAGAGAAGTAGCTGATGACCATGCTTCAAAGATACCACAGGTGAGTAATCTCCTTAGTGATACATTTCCATAGAATTAAGTAGCAACTCCATTTTATAGTTGAGAAAGCTGGTCCAAAAGGGCTTTTAATCATGACCAGAAGCAGAGATCTAACTTGAAACCAAGTCTTCATATGAACCTATCATAGTGCTTGGCTTCAATAAACTATGAGTCATCAGAAACAGGTAGGTGTCTTAGTTACTGTTCTCATTTTTTTGGATGGAATATCTCTGGCTAAAGTAGCTTAAGAAAGGAAGGTGTTGCTCTTGCCACAGCATGAAGATGCAGATCATACAGTTAGGCAAGTCTGGTGGCCAAGTCTGGAGCTACCTGCTCACATTGCAGCCACGGGAAACAGAGCAATGCGTGCTGGTGCTCAACTATCTTTCTCCTTTTCTTCTGGAACTAGACATTAGTCTATAGACTATGGTTGGAGTGGGTCTTCCCGCCTCAACCAACCTCATCTAGAAAATCTCTCATTTTCCCAGAGGCTTGTCTCCTTGGCGCCTCTATGCTGTGGGACAGTGGTCTTGTACCTTGTAAAGATTTGTCGCTTGTATTGGTTTAATAAAACGCTGATTGATCAGTAGCCAGGCAGGATATATAGGCGGGGCAACTAGAAAAGGAGAATTCTTGGTAGAGGAAAGGGTCAGTCTGCAGTCATTACCCAGACACAGAGGAAAAAAAAAATGAGGCTGCCTTGCTGATGAAAGGTACCAAAGCCATGTGGCTAACACAGACAACAACTATGGGTTAATGTAAGATGTGAGAATTAGTTAATAAGAAACCCGAGCTAATAAGCCAACCAGTTTTTAATTAATGTAGGCCTCTATGTGTTTTTTTTTAAAAGAACTGAATGACTGAGGGACCGGGTAGGACAGAAACCTCTGTCAACACCTCTAAGTTATTCCATATAACACACTACTTTTGGCCCCTTAGGAGCAAGAGAGCCCACTACTTGATCTTGACTGCGTGGATGCACTTCCCCAGTTCCAGTCCAAATGCTTACCACCTACCACCAGAAAGCCTTACAATACAACTCCACCCTGAGGATGGTTCCATCTGCTAATCGTTTCTAGATGGCCCATTACAACCTGCTCCCTAATGGAAAATTATTAATGCCTAGGCATTGGGCTCCCCTGCCTTCTCCCACTGGGGATGCTTCCTGTGAGAAGAGTTGATGCTGAGTACAGTGGCTTGTGCTCCTGGAAAATATGAACTCAATAGGGAACCATGAATAAGCTCTTAGAGCCGAGTAGCAAGGAGAAGGAGAGAGAATTTGGAAAGAGAAGTTAAAAAAAAAGACTTTGGGACACAATGAAGAGAATGTGGACACTGTCCAATTGTGGTTTCAGGAATAGAGCGTTTACCCACAGAAGCATTACAGCACCTCTCGGTGATTTGGATTTTTTCCAGTCGGGGAGGAAGAAGGCAAAGAACACAGAATACTGGGGGTGGGATGGTGATGAACTAAGTGCAGAAAAGAAATCTTCTTTCTCAAGTCGTCAACAGCAGTACCTACTGTAATGTGGAAAGACTTTTATTTACTGCATGAGACAGGCAGGGAGCAGATGCTTGGCAGCCCACAGAAGGTTAAGGCTGGGTTAATTTTTACTTATGCCTTGCATTAGAAAGCCAAGAGTATGGCTTCAACTCCCCCCCCCCCTTCCTCCCCCGTTTGCAGTTCTCGGCACCATAATTCAGCACTGCTAGGTTAGGGCATGTTCTGTCAAATTAAAAACCAAAGGTTTTCCTATGGGAGAAATCTCAGTGTTAGAGCTAAAAGAGGTGACAGCCACATTACTGCCATCAAAAATAATTTATTAATCATGCCAGTTCAAAGAACTTTGGTAGGCACAGTTCCCCAAGGGCTTCCTGTTTGAACGCACTCTCTGCTCTTTGCCATCTCCTCTCAGTCGCATTCGCTTTTCCCCTCCTCACCTGTGAATAAAATAAAATGGATACCCAGGAAACTTCATCTTTGCCGAGTGTATCACAGGACAGGAGAATGCTGTCTGCACCAGCGTCCCCAGACAGTGCTGCCAGAGAGACTGTTAAGAAGTTGCTATTCCTAAGCCCCCATTCGTTCTTGGCCCTTATAAAAGTAAATAAATAAATTTAAAAAATTTCCTCTTTCGTTTCCACCTTAGCCTAGGAGTCTGGATAGTGTCGGGAAACATAGCTTTACACCAGTAGCATGTATTATATTAGTACCGGCTCTTGCTCATCCCTCTCTGTGCCACCCGGTCCTCAGGGAGGTATCACAGTGCACCCGATACTGGAAAGACTCCTGTCTCTCTGTACCCATGAGAAGAAACCGGCCACGTAATTTGAGAGACTAGGCAGGATCTTTTTCTCATTTTTGCTTCTTGCTCTGTGACGTGTGTACTAGGGCGTACCTACATTTTTAAAAGACAGTACTTTTTAAAAGGTTAAGTTAATGGCTCGGAGATACTATTGCAGAAGCATCTTTTTCAGCAGTATCTCTTGGCAACTCCGAAGAGAACGTGTACCGCGGCGGGGCAGGGGAGCTCAGAAGCGCCCTCCCACCTATCACGCCCCTGCGCCTTCTCCCAGCAGCTTCAGTCTCTGACCTCGCAGAATCCTCAACAGAGACCCGCACAAGGCAGATCCCGACCTGCGGGTGCCACACATCTCCAATGAGGGTCCACTCACACCATTTATTTATCTAGCGCACTGGAAGAAAGCACCATTAGGTGTTGGTGGGAGGCGCTTGTCCGAATCCCACCCAGTCCGCGGCGATTCCGAACAGACACCCGCACCCTCTTGGCTGCCTGCGAGAAACCGCCGGGAGCAGCCTTTCGCTGGGGGATCAGTGCCGCCCCGGACCCCCCGTCGCGGTCGCCCATTTCTGCTCTCCTGTTCTATCCTGCAGCGGCGCCGAGGCTGTCTGGAATCCTCTGCGTGCTGGTCGGGGTGCGCCCCCGGGTCCCCCGCTCCGCGGCGGCGGCGCTTGCCGGAGTTTGACTCAGGGGTGTCAGCGGCAGTGGCTGCGCAGAGCCGCGGGCGGCGGGAGCGAGGCGAGCCCGGCTGCTCGCCCTCTGCGCTGCGCTAGGATTGGTTTCTCCCGGAGAGCGCTGACCGAGGGTTGGCTGCGGGCCGGCTGAAGAACAGGTGAACCTCATCGCCCGGGCTCGCCGAGCAGCTACTGAGCATCGCACCGCACCACACCGGGGCTAGGCGAGCAGCTGCCAGGCTGGCCCCCTGTGTCGGAATGCCGCTTGCCAGCGCCGGGCATCAAACGGCTGCCCGCCCGGACCTCTGAGGGCGACGTGAGGTGGGGGCAGCGGCAGCGCGGCCAGGTGCCCCAGGGAGCGAGCCGGGCGCGGCGCCCCAGGATGCCGGCAAGACTGGAGTGCACACAGGCGGCGGGCAGCATCTACGGCGGCATCAGCAACAGCGGCAGCATCAGCACCATCAGCAGTTGGGGGACCCCGGCGCGCAGGAGGCAGCTCGGCGGGCTGCAGACGCACCCCGCCGCTCCCTGACCGGCCGGCGGCGCCGGGGCCGGTCTCGCCCCTCTTCCGCGCTCCTCGCCGCCCCCTCCCCGGCCCGCGTCCCCTCCCCCGTCCTCTCCTCCCCGCCCGCCGCCCGCCTCTCGGGGGGAGGGGCGTGGGGGCAGGGAGCCGATTTGCATGCGGCCGCCGCGGCCGCTGCCTGCGCCGGAGCCCGCCGCCGCCGGAGCCCGCGCCCGCGCCCGCGCCCGGCCCGCGCGGCCCCATGCCTCTGGCGCGGCCCTCGGGGGGGCGAAGGTGAAGACCGGCTCCTAGGATGAGTGAAGGGGCGGCCGCTGCCTCGCCACCTGGTGCCGCTTCGGCAGCCGCCGCCTCGGCCGAGGAGGGCACCGCGGCGGCTGCGGCGGCGGGCGGGGGCCCGGACGGCGGCGGAGAAGGGGCGGCCGAGCCCCCCCGGGAGTTACGCTGTAGCGACTGCATCGTGTGGAACCGGCAGCAGACGTGGTTGTGCGTGGTGCCTCTGTTCATCGGCTTCATCGGCCTTGGGCTCAGCCTCATGCTGCTTAAATGGATCGTGGTGGGCTCCGTCAAGGAGTACGTGCCCACGGACCTGGTGGACTCCAAGGGAATGGGCCAGGACCCCTTCTTCCTCTCCAAGCCCAGCTCCTTCCCCAAGGCTATGGAAACCACCACTACGACCACTTCCACCATGTCCCCCGCCACCCCCTCTGCCGGCGGCGCCGCCTCCTCCAGGACGCCTAACCGGATTACCACCCGCTTGACCACCATCACGCGGGCGCCCACTCGCTTCCCTGGGCACCGGGTGCCCATGTGGGCAAGCCCGCGCTCTACCACGGCACGGAACACTGCGGTCCCCCCGACGGTCCTGTCCACCACAGTCCCTTTCTTCAGTAGCAGCACGCCAGGCTCCAGACCCCCAATGCCAGGAGCCCCTAGTACGCAGGCGATGCCTTCCTGGCCCACTGCGGCGTATGCTACCTCCTCCTACCTCCACGATTCCACTCCCTCCTGGACCCTGTCACCCTTTCAGGATGCCGCGGCCGCCTCTTCTTCCTCACCCTCTTCCACCTCCTCCACTACCACCACCCCAGAAACTAGCACCAGCCCCAAATTTCGTAAGTAGACTCCTTGTCTCAGCAGTGATTTACTGCCGAGTTTCTTTCTGCTTTCTGGCTCTCTTTTCTCTTGGTTGCCACTTCCCCAATTACCCGGTTTGGGGCAGAGTGTGAGGCTATGGTTAAAAATGGCCTCAAGGGGGCCAAAGGTGTGGGTCTCCGCTGTGTCTGTGTGTGGAGTCGGGGCATCCGGCAAGTGGAGGAGATCTCTAGAGCCAGGGCTCCTACTTCAGTGGGTCCCAAATAAGAATAGACTTCTGACTCCCTTAAAGGGTTAAGCGAATGCAAAAGCTCCTCACTGCAGACTTGAGAGTGAGTCCAGGTTGTATTTTCCATAGTGGCCTGGGCAGGGATGAGACTATTCCCTTCCCGGTGCACCCAATCCTTCCCGCCCTCCTGTAGGAAGCTTTTCTAAGCACAGCCAAAACTGGTTATGATAGCCCACAAAAGGAAGTTATGACCAGTGTGGGGGTGAAGATCTGATGCAGGTATTTGGTAGTGGTGTCCATGGGATGTAGCTGTCGACTCTTCCAGTATCTCTGCCGGGCAGCGACTAGGAAGGGTTAATTAGAAGCCATTGGGAGAGGTAGGGAAATGAGGCGCTCCCAGATGGACCCCTCCCCTCAGCCTGTCCCTGGCCATTTCCAGGTGTGGAAATTGTGTCCAAGGCCAGTGGAGTGAGTTAACAGTGAGGAAATGCAAAGGGGACTCTGCAGAGCTGCGGCCCCCCGGGGTCCTGGAGAAGGAGGAGGATTTTTTTTTCCTTCCCCCTTTCAGTTGTGCCAAGCCTTTGCTTTTGTTCCCTTCCCAGATGGGTGAGGGGTGTAAACCTGATCTCTTTCTCCCACCCTGCAGATGATGAGCAGACTAGGACCCGGCTTAGTACAACGGCCAAGCTCTTTGTAACATGTTCCTCTTTGGGTATCGCATTTCAGCCTGGCACAGTCGGTGCCAGTAGCGGCCAGTGTAACCCCTAAACATGGTCGCTTTCTCTTTGGAGCCCTATGCTTTCTATTTTTATGAGCGTTGCGGGTAACTAATTGACCTCCACCCCACCCTCTCCGCTTAGTGAACAGAAATCCCAGGAATCTTCTGTTTGTGCCTGAGCATCCGGATCAGAAAACACTTGTGCAACCTGTGAAGGTTATTCAGGACAAGCCCCCAGTATGTCAGTTCAAGTTCCAAGAAAAGCCACTCTGAAAGAAAAAGGAAAATAAAAAGAAAGAAAGAAAAGAAAAGAAACGGTCTGGATATGTTACCCTTAGTATTCATGTTTTGAGCTGTAACATCTGGGAGAAAGAAAAAGTGTTCCTCCCTGCTCAGTGCTGGTAGGAATGTGATGGTTGCTTTCAGTTATTATTATTATTTAGTTTCCTGACCTCTGATTTTACCTAGGGTGTTATTTAACATTTGTGACTTTTTTTTTTTAAATGTCATGTACTTGTAAGTAAAGACCAGGGGACAGAGACTCGTGTTTTTACACTGCTTCAGAAAATTGCATCCATCACCCGGATGGTCCGTGGGAAATAGGAAAGCAAAGAGAAGGAAGGTTTTTGCCACAACCTGGAAAATCAGTAGAGCCGGCCCCTTGCAGTTTCCCCCTGTTTTGCTTGAAGTGGTGATTTCTGAGAGCACATTTTCCAGAAGAGGGAGGGTGCTCCTGCTCCTTTCAGCAAATCTAGCTTGAGTGTTGTGGCCGGATAAAGGGTTGGTGCTGCTTCTGAGCACATTTATTGCACTGAAATAGGTTCCTATCTATGTCGGAGACCTTGAATTTTCATCTCTTCTGCAGCAGTTGATATAAATAATGGATTGTGGCCCTACTTCTCACCCCGGGGCTGTGGAGAGCACAGTAGGGGCATTTCCCTGTCCTTTCTGTATTGATTTCCTACCTTTCTTTCTGAGATGGTCTTTAAAGAAGAGCCCAAGGTAATTATTTCTGCCCCTCCATGATCTTGTTCTACATTCAGTAGAAGGGAGTGGATGGCAGCCTGTTTAATAAGTCATGGCTATTGACAGGACTCTGTGCCTTAAGGAAAGAGGTGGGACCTCTGTACAGGGTCTCAGTGCTTGCATAGACATGCCAGCCGTATTTGTTTCATTTGTACATAGGGTCCAGATCTTTCTCTGTCTGACATCTTTAAACGAGGTTTGAGTAAAGAGATGAAAATGCAAGTATGCAGATCTAGCAGTGAATGGCCTGATTTAGCTGCACTGAGAGGGGGCAATTTAATGAAAGGAATATGTAGTTTCCATAAAAATTTGAGTTATATGGGTAGGCTATATAGTCATTCAAAGGACAGTTTATTTATTTTTTTTTCATGTAAGATTTTTTTACTGATTAGCAAGATGGGAGATATTTCATTTGTGGGATTATCAACACTGCTATAGTAGGCTGAAACATGGCCCAAGTAGCTGTCATTCAAATTGTTAACTTGTTTGGGTTATGGCATTCAAGTTCCCAGATGATAAAGGTATTTGTGCATATCACCCATCACTATATTTTAGTACGTTTGTTTCTTCCTTTGCTTCCCCACCCCCACTGTTCAGAATTCTCATTCTGGCTTCTTTTGCGGCACCTGAAGGCAGTTAAAGATGATGCTAACCCAAATATTCTTCAACGTCCATGCCTTGGCTTTCTGAGAACAACATTTCATAGCTTAGAGGGTGAATACATTTGTGCTCCGCTTTGGCAATGTGGTGGCTGCTGTCTGTAAAATCTTCATAGCTCTTCGAGTAGAAGCTTGTTTATTGAGAAAGATACCGACTGTTCACTGGCCGAGGGTTAACTGGAATTTTGCAAAGAAAGGAAATTTTATTATTCACATTATTTGCTATGTGAAGGGCTCATTTTTTGATGATGAATTGAGGCAAAAAGTAAGACAACTTAAACAGTAAGCAGACAAAGAGAGTTTGGCATTTGACTTCTAGCTTCCTGACTCCAACCCTTGAGTCTTGGGGTGTACCAAACTTCCCTGCATCTCTGGAACGTCTTGCCTTTTCAGGGACCCAGAGCTATCCTTTTCTTTAGACTCACTTGAGAACAAATATCTTAAACATGCTGCTACTGTAAGATTAATTCAATATGATTCTCCTGAAGGAATTTTTGTCGCCATGGTATTGATTAATAAGTGTTTTAGAGTTCATAGGGACCATGCACTACAGGTAGAGAACAGTGATTTTGTAAAATGTACAAACACTTCCCCTTTGATGCAAGTTGGAATTGTTTCTTCCGATTTCAAACTTGACTCTATTACTGCCAATGCAAACAGGGGTTGTTTGGGACTCTTGGATTCTTTTACCTAGCTGGAAGCGCTGCTAACAGGTGGGAAAAAAGAAAGCCCAGGCCACTAATGAAGTTCAAACCAAGTTAATGGTTTGTTCTTCCAGTCATCTTTGGATGGATCTAAGATCACAAATATTGAATAGTACACTCAGAGAAGGAATTTGAAGATAAAATGTCCTTTTGGTGTTTAAACATGGCATGGTGGTGGTTTCAGTTTGCCATCTAATTTAGTAAAGTTCTACCAAATCACATCAATTGTGATTTTAAAGGAGCCATTGCTCGCATCAGTTGCTTATTGCAATCAGAGTGCTCAGTGGCTTCATGAGCAGCCTCAGTTATAACTGATTTAAAAAGTTAAGCCTGTGTCTTATATACACGAGTCAAGACCTTCAGAAGACTCTTAGCAGAAAAGGTAGTGACCTCATAAATGCACGGTGGCAAAAATGGGAGGACTCAGAGCTCAGGATCAATGAAGTAAAATTGAATTTATTTTTCATATGAGCCTTGTGTTGCTTTCTGAATATGTTTTTGTTTTCTTTGTCATTACTGCAGGAGTATGGGGTTTTTCTGCGTCAGCCTATTATACTGTGAATTTTGAGGCACACACTTGAATTTTGAGGGTCATTTTGTGATCCTAACCAGAAATAAAACATCAGCAATAACAATGTGGGGATAGGCATAGCTTTTCCAGACTGCTTTGTGGGCTCTTTTGAATTTAGTCTTACTTCATTGAGAACAGGTATTTTTCATCATCCCTTTTGCAACTTAGAGAACTGTAGTAGGGGTTGGAGGTTATCTTGCTAGTGGAGAATGTCTTGAAGGCTTGATTTATGAGGATAGCCACCTATATTTTTGTGCTGTTTCTCAAATAGATGTCTAAAAGTACATACTGTTTATTTGCAAACTTGTGAGAAAGGAAATAGACTAAAATCAAAATCAACAGCAAGCAAGCTGGCTTGTGGCACTTTCTGCTACTGAAGGACTCAGGCTCTTTAAGATGACTGTGAACCACATCAGAAGTTCTGATACCGATCTGAAATCGGCGCTGTCTCCAGAGAGCCAATGTGTGTATGAGAAGAAGTTGCCTTTCCCTCTGGATTTTCCAAGCCTCCTTCTGGTTACACCACAATGGAACAAAGATGGCTTTCAACTCATTCTGTCATAGAAACTCTTTCCTCAAATCCTCATATTGAGAGCCAAAACATGTCTCAATAGTCTATCAGAGATGGTGAAATGAAAGACGAAAATTAGCCCTGAAATAGAGAAAAGCAGAGGGTGAGACATAAGTGTCTTTTAAATGCATTTGGGATCACTTCTGGAGAGAACTGAAATTCACATCGGTCTCACTGTATCTTCAGAGGTCCGTGCTGGGAAAGAACAGTACGGTGTTGCCTTGAAAAAATGGTATTGGCAAAGTCTGAGCCCCTAGACACTCTATTCATCTTTACCTGGGAGCATTCCTTGTAGGCCTGTGCACCCAAGGAAAAGCAAAGGGGAAAGGACCAAATCGGCTGTGGGCTCATCTAAGGCTGATAGTAGGCCTGCATAGGCTTCCCTGCTCACCTGTCAGGGAAAAGGGTTTATCCTTCCAGAGTATTCACTCCTTCCTATAGCCCTCTCCATTACTGTACTGAAGAATGACTATGGCAGAATCTTTCTTACAGGCTCTTAACTGTATATTTGCTGCTCATACTTTTATTTCTTTATTTTGGTA